TTCATACAATCATTTTCATCGGTCACTTCCTTCTGATGCTTTTTTTTTCCTTCCAACAAGAAATCAGAGTACTGCAAAATATTTCTAGACATCTGATAGGCAAGCACAGCACAGTTCCAATTAATATTTGGGACAATATTAATGTCTAGAGTTTTTGATGCTGAGATGTCTCGGTTGGTGAAGAAGAGTTGTGCCTCCACTGTCAGCTCGTTCTCTGCGGTGCCAATTTCTATCTTGGCCTCCCTTGCTCTCTGTGCTCATATCTTCTCTCTGTCCACATGAACACCACATGGTTCAACTTGTCAAAGAGAAAAGTGATGTTCCTGCATCTTTTTACCAGCCCTGCCAGTCTTCTCATCTCTGACTTGGCCACCTCCTCCCTGGTAGCCTCAGCTTCACCCTGACCAGATTTCCCTCATCTTCCTTGCTCCACTCTTGGTCATCTCCAGGGACTGAGCATCTCTGGAGAGTATGATTTGGAGAAATGCACAGTGGGATTTAAAACACAGGTCAGACAGCTGCTTCCTCCACCCTCGGGCCACTTCTCACCTCTGGTGTAACAAAAATAATCCTAATTTTTATTATTATTATTATTTTTAAAGACTTATTGTAATGTCACAGTGTGTAGACTGGGGTTTTCTTTGCTTGCAAAACAAAGGTAGAGCTGCTTGGCAGTCTGACTGATGCTGTGGGATGCTCTTTGGAAGGGATTTAAGGGACAGACTTTGGTCTTTTGACCCAGGGCTGTTGGGGTTGAAGGGACTTGGGGTCAGGTTGGGGTGCTGGCAGCAAGAGCTGTTGGGTGCACTGGTGCCACAGGCTTTTTGGGGCCACCAGAGGAGAGGGAGGTGACTTGGGGGTGGTTGGCCAGTGGGGCAGTGAGTGACCTGTGTTATAAAAAAGCCAGGTACGCACAGCTCGGTGTTTATCACCTTCTCATACAGCGACGCCTGGACACGAGGCAGCACCGAGTCTTTGGGGGCCGAGATAAATGCAGGTTTGACGTAAAAAAACCCAAAACAACAAAAAACAAAACCCAAACAACAAAACCTGGTAATTGCTGGAGGTGCCTAAAAAAGTTTGGTAACCTGAACTCATATCTGGCCGTGGACAAGGGGTATAATTTTGGAGGAGAGGAAAATACGTCCCACAGTATCTGTGGCAGGGGTCGGGTGGGGAAGAAGAGGGAAAACATCTGCTGAAGGTGTGTGCCTGCATCTGTCACAGGCTGGTAATGATGAGGGGGAAAAGGAGAAGGTTTTGGAGGATTAAATCAAGCAGGCATCCACAACAGCAGGCAGCCATGTCTGCTTTCACAAGATGCTCTGTCGAACCGCGGTGGTGTCGCAGCACAGGGGATGCTTTTGGGATGCTGTTGTCAATGGATGATAAATTCAAATAATCTGCAGTTTACAGAGCCCTGGCTCAATCCTGACCCTGCTCAAGTTTCCTTAAGTCGTTTATTTTGCAGTGCCAGCGTCTCCTGTGGATTCCTGTAAATCAGCAGCCCTTGCTGTGTCCCCACCTGTGGGCTTTTGAGTCCCTGCATCACATGACTGTTGCAGGTGACTGTGTTTTGCCAGGGCTTTGCAGCAGAGCAGATCAGGAGCTGTTGGCTGCTGAAGGAAAACCATGTTTCACAGAATCCCAGAATTGTCTAGACTGGAAAAGACCTTTAAGATCATGGAGTCCCATCATTAACCCAATACTGACAAGTCCCTGACTAACCCATGTCCCTCAGCACTGTGTCTACACGACTCTTCAATCCCTCCAAGGATGGACACTCCACCACTGCCCTAGGCAACCCCTTCCAATGCCTGAGAACCCTTTCAGGAAAGAAATTCTTCCTCAGATCCAATCTCAACTGCCCTTGGTGCAACTTGAGGCCATTTCCTCTCGTCCTGTCACTTGTTCCTTGGTTGAAGAGACCCACCCCCAGCTCTCTACACCCTCCTTTCACATAGCTGTAGAGAGCTAGTCACAGCAGCTCCCTGGTGTGGGGCTCTGCTGTCTGAAGGCCTCTTGCTTCTACCCAGGGCAGCAGAAACATCTCTCACCTTTGCAGATGCTCCTGACAGAGCATCAATGCCCTCATTTATGCATTCTCCCCAGTAAAACCCCTGTAGGCACCCTTTTCCTGGCCCCCTCACCCTGTGGCCATGCCCTTCACCTGCAGCTCAGCCGTGGGGAGAACCCAGCTTCCAGAGCAGGACATGTTGCCTGCTTCAAAGCAACCTATTTGCACTCACAGTGTGTTTTTATTAGCAGAGAGGTGGGTGTTGTGGACACAGAGGATTTAGCAGTGGCCAAATACAGGCAAGGAGAAGCTGTGGCTGCCCCATCCCTGGAAGTGTTCAGCTCCAGGTTGGATGAGGCTTTCAGCAACATGCTCTAGTGGAAGGTGTCCCTGCTGATGGTTGGAACTAGATGATCTTTAAGGTCCCTTCCAACCCAAACCACTCTATGGTTCTAAGGAAGTTGCATTCCTTCTGCCCAGGTCTCATCAGAGGGAAAAGCCAGGTGTAGGGCTGGGCCATGCTGGTCCTGTCCAAAACTGCACGGGCAGAGGCAGAGGTGTGGTTGTGTTAGGGTGTGTGCACGTGTGCTGAGGTGGAGGTTTGAAACTCCCTCTCGTGTGATCTTTGGGTGAGGAGGGGCTATCTGTGCTGCAGCCAGACTGCATTGTTTTGGGTAGATAGTCCATGCTATGCTGTCCTGGTTTTGCTAGGATAGAGTTAATTTTCTTTTTAGTAGTTAGAATAGCTGTGGTTTGGTTTCTGGGTGGGATTTGTTATGGGAAGAATGTTGATAAGGTACTAATGTTTTTAGCTGCTGCTGGAGCCCAAGGCCATCGTGTTTGGGTAGCTACAAGTGCAAAGGACTGGGAAGGGGGGAAGTGTAGTAATGAGCAAAACCCAGAACTGGCATTTGGATATGGCAATGAGATATTCCAGATCATAACACATCATGTCAGTGCATTAACCAGGGCTGACTGGAAACTGGGGGTATTCTCAGGGGGATTGCTCAGGCTCTTGGTCTCCTGGGGTTTGGGTTTGGGGACTGTCTCTGCTCTGGGATCACTGGCTGGCACAGGCTGGTTGGTTGGTGGGTGGTGAGCAACTGCACTGGGCATCACTCATTTGCATATTCTGTTATTACTGTCATTATCATTATTATTTTATTTTTATTAGTAAATAGTTTTTACCTCAACCCATGAGTCTCCTTGCACTTTTCCTTCCAATTCTCTCCCCTACTCCCTGCAGCGGGGGGAGAGTGAGAAATTAGCCTGGGTTTGTCTGTGAACCAACAGGGTGAAACCACCACATAGACCGAGAAGCCCTGGGCTGTATCTGGTGTGTGCATTCAGAGATGTAGTTGCATGTACATGCCCATGGGTCTACGTGTTGATACAGATGTGCAGGTGGTGTTGTCTGTGTTTTCCAGAGTTTCATCCCTTGGCCAACAGCTGGAAGAAGCACTGGGGGTGCTCTGCTCCCTCTGTGCAGGGGGTGGGATCCTCACATCTCCATTTAGTATTTCCTTTCTCCCTTGCACCAGTGCGTGTATGGGCATGAAAATAGGCACATCCTCTCCTTCTAGCATGGTGCTTTGTGCTCCTACCCCAAGGTGCAGGACAAAGGTCCCACGTGGGTTCCAACACCCTGACCCATGGCAAAGGCTGCTCCCAAGCACATGCAGTTAGGAGGATGCCATCCCCGGGATGAGGTCCGGTCCTCGGTGTGGGCGATGCTGTAGTTGTTTGTATGTGTCACGGCGGGAAGTGTGTGAACGGAATAAATTTAGCAATCAAAACACAGGGCCGGCACAGTCGGTCATTAACTGCCAGCTCGTCTCGTCATCCTCTAACCACAAGGAGCTTTTTTAGGGCCGACGTCCCGGCGGAGGCTGGAGGAAGTGTGGGAGGCCAGTTCCCGGTGACACCTCCGTGCCCAGCAGCGCTGCCC